AAGGGAAAGAGAAGAAGAAGACAGCGGGTGAAAGGAGGCGAGGAAGGTGAAGAAGAAGAAGAGGGTTGGCGAGGATGACGAGCCGGCAGCCATAGCTGACCGGAGGCTTGACCAAGGGTTGACCGCAGCGTTGACCGGCGTTGACCAAGACCGTTGACCAAGACTTTGACCAAGCTGGAGTTGGTAATATCTCGCCAAGCCTTCAGCCTACCCCTCGCCCTATGGATGTGCACACACCCCCGGTACTTGCTGAGTCAAGTCAGTTTGTCTATTCTTTCTGCATTGAGTCTCTTCTGTTCTAGGTGATAGCACTCTGTGGATGAAGGATAGGGCTTGGATGACGAAATCCTAGTCTGACCTTGTAGGGCTAAGATTGTGGCTGATCCAACTTTCCATGGGGGCATAACCCCCCCAAGGACCGGTGCTGACCTGCTGGAAACGGTTGGTAGGACTGAGTGGGCCTGAACGGCAGTTAGGGCTGACACACCAGGCAATCTTTAAGTGTTGAGGGCCTGTTTGAACCACTCCCCTACCGGACCAAGTAAGGCTGAGGATCTATGTCTGACGACTCGACTGTTCCGGAGGTCAAACCCTCCCAAGGACCGGTACAGACCGGCGGGCTTCTCGGTGTGGCACAATAGGCCGAAAAGGCTGAGTTGTGGGCTGAAAGCACAGGCAGAACCAAGCTGATCACGTCGTCCTGTCTGCGACGTTAAAGAATTCTTGCGGAGTTACGGCGGATCTCCTTAAATGCCTCTTGATCAGCCATTGGTTTAGTAGTGACAGTCATAGCTTAGGTCTAGGCTAGAGATCCTAGTTGGCAGGATCCCTGTCAGGATTCTGTGAGTCTTAGATTGAGTCAGTAGGTCTGTCAGTCAGGGGTTAAAGTCTACGTGGTGAGGTTTGGAACCACTAACCCGGTTGTACGCTTGTCACCATGGTTGAGACCCGTACTGGGTTAGAGACTAGCCCCTATAGCAAGGAGCAACAAGAGAAGATGGCCGCCCTAGTGAAAGAAAATAGGGAGAGAAGAGCATGAAAAGCAGGCGAAGTTAAAAGCTATCGCAGATGAGCAGGCGACGAAGATGAAAGAGATAGAGGAGGAGATGGAGAGGAAGAAGGCTGCTGAAGAAGAAGCGGCAGCAGAAGAGGAAAAGGAAAGAATGAGAATTGAGAGTGGAGAGGGGAGCAGTGGTGGCACGATGAAGAGGGACACAGATGTAGAGATTGAGAAGAAGATCAGTGAGTGGGTTGCTAATTTATCGTTGGGAAAAGATGAGGAGGCGGAGTCATATGTGATTGAGGACGAGAAGGCCGCACTCGCCGCTGAGCTAGCAGCCATGACGGACCCCATGGAACGAAGAGAGAGGGAAGACGAGCAAAAGTTACAATGGAAGTTGAGAATGAAGAGGGAGAAGAGGAGGAGGAGAGAAGAAGTGAATAAGATGACCGCAGCGGTGGCAAAGGTGCAGGAGTGTAGGGCGGAGGTGCTGGCCCAGCCAGATGATAAGGCCAAGTGGGATAAGGTATTGGGCTACCTAGAGGTATTGAGCAAGACCTGGATGGAGGAGCGTCAGGCCAGATGGAGCCAGAATGTAGCCCTGAGTGCTATGCGGTCTGGGTTCAGGGATTTTGCGCGCGAGATCGTCACCCACATTGGAGGCGAAGTGAAACAGTTGAGGGACAACGTAGGAAAGTTTTGTGAGAACGCCATCGAGGGTGCCAAAGCCATAGCTGCTGTAGAGGGTGAGAGCAGGCCCCGTAAAGAGCCTGTCAAGCTCAAGTTCCCAGACGCGTACGGGGGAAAGAAGGAGGAGAACTTTGACAACTGGGAGGCCAGTGTCAACAGCTACATTTATTTACAGCATATCCTGATAGAGGAGCAAGT